CAAAGTAATTTTCTCAGTCATATAATAAATGACTAATCGTAACAGAAAGCTATAATGATTAAGGATTTACACTACTTGCAATATTTGAAAATTCTTTAAAATTGCACTCGCTTAAAGGCTCATGCAATTTTGAGAGAATATTTAAAATATCACTTGTAGTGTAAAACATTAATTGCATTATGTAACATTCACATTCATACAATTATCAATACAACATCCATACCCCAGAGACATAACAATCAGTTAGATTCAGGGTTGCCCAGAGGGCATACAATCAAGGTGAAGAGGCAATGATTTGTTTGGTACATAACTTGCTCTGAATTTGTTGCTCCTAACCAATTTTTCAAAAAATGTTCTTCAAGTAATTAATATTATTAAGATAAATGTAAACTTGTAAAATTGACGGAAGTTTTGGCATAGAAAAATAACACTAATATTGCATAAAGCTCCATCCCCTAAACAAAGAAGGCCAAAAACAGAGTGTATATGATAGACACTGAACTACATAACTTAGAATTCTCAAAATAATAACAATAATCCTCACCCTATGTTATGTACTGTCCCGTGCAAAAGGTCCAAATAACATCGGGTGAGGTGGCTCGAGAATAGGTCGGCTCGTGAGTTCCTCCGGAAACATCCATCTGCTTGTCCCGCGAACTGCTTATTAGTCTACAAACGTAAACGAAAACGATGCGTGGCCTGGTCTGAGCTTACAGCGTACAATCGCCCGCCACATACTGGTTTCACGATTACGTCGCCATGTAATTTCCGATGTTTACAGTGCGGTCGGGTGATGACGTCACTACGATGATCGGAAAATGCTAATCATTCGCGTCTACTTCACCCTATGTTATCTAATGCCGACCGTATTAGTCAGCGCCTGTTAAACTCACTAACAGCATCACGCTGTCACATTAAAGCATATCAAGTTGCGGCCAACCAACCTCCAAAGTGAGCATGTAAAGATGAAACAATTTTAATGTAATAGAAAAATCCGAGCCCCAGATGGGACTTGAACCCACGACCCTCCGTGATCTAGTCGGATGCTCTAACCACTGAGCTACTGGAGACTCTACGGTGAGCAAGGCTTCCCCTCTTGGCGAAATTCGTGAGATGATTGGGATGTAACATATCATCTTCAATCTCGGCTAAAACCTGATGGAAGGACGTTATGTCACAGTGAATTTAATCATAGGATGCTAAGTTTCACAGAAAGACTTCTGGTCTATTATCTTCATTCCGATTTTGTAATGAGGCCTTAAGATAAGATCTTCAAATCAATCAGAGCCGGGTTGTCAGCATGAATTTTTCTCCTCTTTTTCATTTTTTGTCTCCTTATTGTCAGGTGTGGATTACCATTGGTATCGCTTGGATAACACAGGATATTGGTCCCATAAGCCTGGATCAACTCCTGCGACTAATCTAGATGGAGATGGAAACAAGATCACTGATCCAAGAAAAGCTGCCAACGCTAAGCACGGTCCTGATTACCAGTTTGTTTCTTTCATGCAGATCTATACCAATATCACTGAATGATGGTTGAAGGACACTAGCTTAGTTTGATTAACTACCAGGGAAACATTTGCTACACATAAAACGCTTGCACCATAAAAAAGTTGAACCGAAAATAGCATTTTGATAAACGTCTCTAAGATAAAACAAATCAGTGACCTTCTCTTCCTTTAATTGATTAAAAAATCCAAAAAAAAAAAACGCGAATGTTTAATGCTCTTCATATATTCAACGTGCTTTATCGTGAATATTTGTCATAGTTCCCTGCTAAGGATTATTTCACATGTCAGTAGTTTTTTAGAATTCATAGCATAGGCAGAATGTCGACATTGATTCATCTTGATTAGACACATGCACGTTCTTCATTTTGCAATTCATAACGAAACAGCCAGTTAGTCTTAGTTGATGGAGTTGTTTCCCGTCTCTTTGAGATTTATGAAGTGGAGCGAAGATAATGCTTATAAGCTGAAAGGGAAATCACAATCTCCTCATGGCTGCTACTTTGTCAGATTTTGTTTTTTATTCACAGTAACTCAAGTTGTTTAAGAGTAAACAAACCACGAAAATAACGACGCTGATTGCGATAGAGAATTAAAATAAGCTCATAAGTGACGGTTTCCATAGTTGAAGTAAATGATTTGGTCAAATAAACAGTTCTAAATTTTCAAAATCATTTGACTCCTACTTTGTGGTCTTCCTATAAAGTAATAAATATCCAGATTAGAAAGATATTACTCAAGGGGAAAGGGAGGGTAAGCATTTCATAAAAAAAGTTTTCTAACTGGTTTTTGTTACCCAGAGCCTGGCATGATGAATCATTTTTCTATGAAAAATTCTCCTCTGCTTGTCATATCACCATATAAATTTATAATCCGTATGATGTTACCAACGAGCAAAGCCTAGTTGTATCCTTTATATTTGAAGCCAACCTCTTCTTTGTTGGAGTCGATAGAGAATTGTCACCCTAACATAAAAGTGTAGAAGAGGCAAATATATAAATTACGGTCCAGTCCAATACTTCTGCGTATTCGAATTTGACAAAAGAAAGGAAAAATTAGCAAGGTCATGGTAGCGTGCTTTTGGAAAAAAAAAAAAAACGTGAGTGACAGTAGTGTTGTAAATAGACAAAAATCGTCATTTCTCTTGGTTTTCTGCAAACAACTACTGAACTATGCTGTTATAACAATTACGCTATTGAAACCAAGCGATGTCTTTATGCAATGTTGCTAAGATCAGCTCTCAGAGAAAAAGAGAATCACTCGATCGAGCAAGCACAAAGTGCAAAAGGTTCCTTACGACGTCAGAAACTTATCAGATGCTCTGAAAAATGTACAGGAAACAATTCCTATTATTATACGAGTTTAAATATATTGTTTCCTTGTTCGATACATATCATGATTATTCCACCATTACGCCACGTTTAGTTTCTTGCCCTGGCCAGATAGAATATTACACTCTAACTGTGATTATGTCGAGAGGGAAAACATGAACAGAAATCAGGGAAAAGGGCCGGTATAATGCTTTGCCCTCACTTCGCATGATGCACAGCTGTACGTGATCAAAACAACTAATGATTGTCTGTTTTTTAACCTTCGCGTTCTGCTACTTGATAAGTATAACCGGAAACACAGGAATGGAATCAACATGAAATCGATTTTTAATAAAGATATTTTTTTTAAATAGTCAGATCGCTGTTGGGGATAACATTGCTTCAGGATTAAGTAAAGGAGCATGATTGCTACATTGGAAATTCTATTGAGCGTCCCCCTCGGTTGGTTACATCAGGGAAAAGGGCCGGTATAATACTTTGCCCTCGCTTCGCATGATGCACAGCTGTACGTAATCAAAACAGCTAGTGATTGTCTGTTTTTTAACCTTCGCGTTCTGCTACTTAATAAGTACAACCGAAAACACAGGAATAGAATTAACACTAAATAGATTTTTAGAAAAGGTATTTTTTTTAAATAGTCAGATCCGAGCGTCCCCCTCGGTTGGTGAAGGAGGCTCTACGGTGAGCAAGGGTTCCCTTCTTGGCGAAATTCGTGAGATGATTGGGATGTAACATATCGTAAATATTTAGCTATGCTTTTGCTAAGGTAATGGTTTTTCTTAAAAATACAGGAGAATACAAGGTGACGTTGTTGGTGTACAGTGGTCTTCCTCATCCTGTTTGGTCGATTCATCCTCGCCATGAGAGATTCAAGGAAATAAAAGATCTTCTCGAGGACGCCGGAGTCAGAGGTATCGCCCACCGTTACGAACATGCTCCTGCCATTCTCAGATTCAGGGGTTTCCTTGTACATCACCCCCAAGCCGAGCGTGCAGATTTGATTCTAGGAAGGGAGACGACCGCCCTTCAAAAGCTGCTGCTTGACACCATGCCAGAAGAAACGATACATCATACCTTGCAGCCGAAGATATCGCAGGCCATCCACTTTTAGGAACTGTCTATCCTAATTTGGACACACCGGCTTCGTAAGTTCTCAATGTGCTACATTTGTTACAAACCAAAGTCACATCTCCCAGAGCGCACATGATTTTCTCATAATACTATGCCATACCCCTGTCGATAAAGAAAATACATACGCTGAGAGACCAAGAGAATGCGGCGAACCTCGACCACAATGTTGTATGTGATCTTCGTTTTCACACTTTTCAGACAATTTATGTATGATTATATCACAGGCAGCCCAAGCTCACTACTAGAAAAGCGGACGTGACTCTTACCGTGTTGCGCAACGTTTTATATTTATAAAGGTTTGTATGGGATGTTATCGGTTTGCCTTAAAAGAGAGAAAAAATGTCTTGTTTTGAAATAAAATGGGCTTACCTTATTGCCTTGTTGTTTTCTTTGTTGATTCCTAGCGTCTCAGGCCATTTTGAAGCGTTTTCGGCGAGTTAGCGCTATGTTGGTGTTCAACTGCTAAAAGAAAGACAAGGCCGGAAACCTATTTTAGAAGTGTCCGTCGCCCGAAGCGAATAATTCCGCCAAAAAATTACCACCAGTCTCGATTCCTCCAGAAAATCAAAGCAGAGATGTTGCAGTTCCATTTCCATTCACTCGATTCCCAATTCCTCCCACAGATCTTTCACTAGCGATGCTTTTATCTCCAGATCGATCGGCTTTCCAATTTCGAATTTGGCTG